AAATCTAACCTAGTGGAGTGCTTCAAATTCATCTAAAACAACTGGAACTACAACAAGGTGTTTTTAACAGTCTGGTCATAATTAATAGTCTCAATAAAGTCAGAATCGGGAAACTAAGTAAAAACATTAAACCCCCATTTTTCAAGTAATCACCTCTCACTTTATCTTCTGCTATATATAAACTTTTTTTATTACTTTTCATGATCCCTGGTATGAGTCATTTTGCAACACAGCCTTATTTTATAATCCCTTACTTTGTTGCTCCTTTACACTCTTCCCTAGCCCTTTTCTAAAATTACTTTTTCTTTAGAATTCATCTCTGATTTCAAGTTTTGTGAAGATAACCCACTGTCACCTTAAAGAAACCTTCCTATGCCTTCATCTTCAGACAATCCCACAGTTCTTTAGCCACCCTTTACTTATTGTGTTATCTTTCCAAAAGCATTACTAGTTTCCCAAAGCTGTGAAGTTGGAAAATCTTTTGATGTCCATTGTCCCCATGGTCCTTCTCCCACCTCTCCCTCTTCTCCAAAAAGTTCATGTTACCATGTCATGATCACTTTCATACCAATTATCTTCTGTCTTCCTTAGCCCATTCTTCCTCAGCCATAATGAAATCTGAACTGAAGGCTGCCTTAACATTTTAAACATGTACAGATAACGTCAATCAAAGGAAATTTGTGAAGCTCTGTCTGTATCCCAATCCTATTTTCTCCACTGACAAGGAAATTAAAATCTTCCGTTATTTTAATTTCTTGTCTTTGAGGCATTTCTGTCAAAAAAAAAAAAAAAAACACTTTCAAAAACAGTCTTTCTCAGTGTCTTCTGCATATTTCCAGGTAAAAGTTTGTCCCTCACCTCTCCTCAGCTTCAGAGCGGGTACAGATGTTTTTTGACATTTAACAGTACATTGCCTTTTTTTCATCCCTACCTGCCCTTCACAAAAAGTGCTCCCCTATATCAATGAGTAGTCTTGTGCTATGCCTGACCATGTGTTACAGTTTTTGATTAAACTACTGAATAAAAAAGAAGTTAAGAAAGAAATTAAAGAAATTATGTCTTAATAGTGAAACAACTAATTTGAATTATCTGACAAATTCTGTACCATTCCACTACCAGGAAGAGCAGTTCATTGCTTTTTGTACTGATTTACTTGTAAAAATAGTGAATGTTTAGAAACTTGGAATTAGAATTAAATATACTGATATGAGGGAATAAAATACTGTGTTTAATTTTATTATATTTTTGTTCAATATTCCATTTTCCAGAATAATTTATCTTTTCTTTACCATTGGAATGGAGACAATTTTAAAACCATGCAACATCCCATAAAAAGGGAAATATGGTTTCTATCTCTTTTTCTATTCCCAGACCTACTGCTGCTGCTAATAAAGAAGCAGACACAAGCTCCTGGAGCACTGTTCCTGGTACAACAACTTCCAAATTCAGTTTCAAGTATTTCTCTTGTACCTCTCCCAAAGACACATGCCCTGGGCAAGGCACAGCATTTTATCAGAAAAGGTAGAAAAGGAGAAGGGAAGAATGAAAAATGTCATGAGGAGCCAACAGAGATGCTTAATGCCAGGTATGAAAGAGAAAGAAAAGTGAGAAAAATAAAAATAATAAAGAAAACTAGGAAAAAAAGGGGGAAATAAACATCAAAAAAACAAGGGCCATCTGTAACTGTGCCAGTCTTGCCAAAAGAAGAAGCAGCACATGTCTATCAAAGCTGGTGGGTCACTTCAACCATCAAAGGTATAAACAGCAAAGGTTCAAGCAGCACACCAGATAGGTTCTAACAGATCTTCCAAAACTGCAAGTCATTTACAACTCCCCACACAGTCAATCATAATGAAGTGTTTTGGACTATTCTGGAGACACAGCTAAGCATGCAGTAGTCATCATTTGGAAGAGCTTGCTTTTACACAGATTTATAAAAGAATCACAAGTGTTCTTGCTTTTAAAAAGCTACCTGGCATGTTTAACCCAGAATTTAGGTAGAATCACTACCTAAATGAAAGCAGGAGATGATTTAGCATTTCTAGATTAATAAAAACAAAAAGTGCAGATGATGAAATAGAACTCAAAAAAAGGGTGGGTATTAAGGAGTACTTTTATTTTTTTCCCCTTCTAATTTCCACTACTTTTGACAGTTTTTGACAGCACTATTGAAACATAACCTTTTTGAAACCAGAAAAGTGGACACACAAATATACATATATATTTTAAGCAGTAAGTTTTTTATGGCTTTGGCTTCAAAGAGGACATATGAGGGCATGATACTGCCTGAAAAGACCCATCCCTGTGTATTCTCTTAACCTAGAAAACCTGCCAGGTAATGTTTCAGCCTTCCAACCCCATGCAATAAATTTAACTCCCAATTAACCAGCCTTTTTCTAAAGATGACCAAGTCCTTTCTCACCAGCAATGACATCCAAACTGAACAGATATTTCAGCACAGACTTGGGTTATTGAAAACTAGCAAACAGGATTTTATCAGTCCAGCTGTGTGTTCATTTGCTGTGTAATTACCAGCCATATAGATTTAAAGTTAGCTCATCCAAAGCTTGGTGATATTTCTTATCTAACAAAATTTAAGTGATAAAATTTGTTCCACCTCAAAAACTTAACTCCTATTCTACCACAAGGGAAGACACACAAGGGNAAACACAAAAACAACAACAAGAAAAAAAAAACCCAAACAAACAAAAAAAACCCCAACCAAAACCAGAATTTTTATCAGATTGTAAGTGCAGAAAGAGTAAAGTAGATTTAATTAAAGTAAGAAGATAATAAAATCTCTTATTAAAATCATGCCATGCTATATAGTCATGCTTCCTATGGCAAGGTAAGTCCAAATTTCAGGTCTCATTGGCTTGATGAGAGGTGGGAGACAGAGCACACTGTAAGGTGCTCTGGGTCAGCAGATTTCAGTAGCCCAAGCTGTCCAAAGCCCTTCAACGGTTCCCTGAAGACCAAAAGAACTGAAAAGCCTGTTTACAATCCAGTGTTCTTTATACAAGGAACTTCCATGGAAAAAAATAACCCTGTGTTCTCATACTGCTGCTGCCCCTTTAATCAGTCAGCCCTACATCTCTCTTTCCTTGCAATGGGGTCATTAGATCAGAAGATGAACTGGGAAGTGTAAGGTCCTCAGTCTGCCCAGGACAAAAAAAAGGACTGGCTAAGGTTTTGGTCCACTCCTGCTCTCATGGAAACACATCAGAAAGAGCTGATTTGACTCCTGGGAATTAAAAGTTAATTGCATTCCACAAATCATAATAAGAATCAGCATCATTTTTCCCATCAAATATTCATGCAGTCCTCACTAACACTAATTGGCAACATGAACATGGAAAGCTTAATCAGTCTGTCCTCCTGCTAGCATGAGGGGAGGAACCTCTATAATTTCTACAGATGTACCCATGGAGATGCTCAATGCACCTTCTGACAGTAGCTTTAAGCACACACACAAACCCCAACACTTCTGTTAAAGAAAGGACAGCCATGACATTTCCTCTTCCTTTTGCCTGCAAAGAATTCTCCAAAGTTTTATAAATCTGAAAAGCTTCTCTGTTTGTTTGGACTGAATTACATTTTGAGATATTTATAAATTATGTGCACTGATATTTTTCACTACAGATTTATACTCTAAATCCACATGCTGCTCTCATAGTTTCCCTACCCAGTCTTTAACCACAAAGGAGAAAAAACCAAAAGCTTCCAAAAGAGAAGCAGAACTGACACCCTGTGTGATTTGTGTGCGTACGAGTGTGCACACATTAGTGCATGAGTGCTGAAGGCTTTTATCACGATGTTACAGATTCAGGCTTCATGAAGTGAATTTTAACATCTGAACAATAATAGAAGCAGTAAAAAATTCACAAACACTCCCTCTCTATAAATGTTTAAGAAAATATGCACTGTATTATCTTTATGTGAATATAAACACTGACTCTCTGGGCATCTTGCTGATGTTTTGTAGTGGGTCATTACAGCAGCTGACAAACCAGGAGGTACTTAAATGTAAAAAGGGCTAGAAAGAATTTATAAAGCCTTTACAAGCAGGGATTTCACTCACTTTCCCTAACCCCTATTTAATTACAGAGCCTGTCTAATATCATACAATACAATTTTTTATAGTTACTATTAAAAGCTGCCTATCCAAAATTATTAGCTAGGTGCAAAGAAAGGAGGAAGAAATTAACAAAGGAATTGGCTACTAAATTAAAGGCTATGTATTTATAATATAAAAATAAGACAGTGAACACTGTTCTTTTTAAATTATATATTTTGCTATCTTTAAATAAATCATTATTAAAACAAGGAATTTATAAACTACTGCCATTTATCTGTGATTTTTAAGTTACTATATATGGTACAACATTTCATTGCTTTTGAAATAAGAATCTGAATAGATTCCCATTAGGGCATCATGGCACTAAGGTAAAATAAATAATCATTGTAGCAGGACAGGATCCCATTTGCTGCAGACAGAAACATTACACTTTAAATTTAAGTTATTTTGGCTGTTGGCCAATACACCAACACAGTTCTGCACTAGAGAAAGCCTGTGTGTCATGTAAATACAGATTTGAATGGTCTGAGCTCACAAGGACTCTGACTCTTTCCTGGCATCTGTGTGCAGGCATTCACAGCACTGGAGAGTGAGCTTCTGCCAGAGACATGCCTGTGTTTTGAGATTTCTTTTGAGATATTCTCTGTATCCTAGACAGCTAATCAAATAGTGCAAGCAGGAAGGTAAAAGCAAGTCTCCCAGCTGCTCTGAGGTATATTGGTAGCTTTATCTTGACCTCTGGTGTTCAACCTCTGCCAATTCAACTAAGACAGACAAGCAATGACACCACAGAGTTTGAACCTTGTGCCATTCAGAAAGCAAAAATGCTACATATATGCTGTTTGGTGTGTCAAAATATATGAAACAAAAGATGGTGATGAGGGAATGTAGCAAGCTGTGTTTTCTCTTTTGACTTTCTTACCTCATTTACATAGACCCAGTGACTATCCTTTGATGCAAGGTTGGTTTCCACAGCCTACAAAAATAAAAAGAAACATAATAATAAAAATAAATAAAACATGGAAAATATATTCCAGAAAGAACTTATATTAAAAATGTACTATAAAGCTCGTTTTTATTGTTTTCATTGCTACTGACATTGTTTCAGTATAATTCTTTTCATCTCTTCCTCTGCTGCTTCATGGAACAGTAACTAATTGGTGGCAGCCACCTTTCTCTGACTTCAGTTCCTAAACCAAAGTACCCTGACCGTGGCCATGTGCCACAAAAGCACACTGGGGCAGGGGGTACATCAGCACAAGGGATCCTGTGATGAATAACTGCACAGAACATGCAGTTCAGGAGATCTAACTTCTCCTTGATATATCTAATGCATCCTACTCAGCTGGGTTTATTTTCAATATGCCTCCCAAAATATATTGTCTCTGGCTCATTACACCTCTGATAGTTTATCTGTTAGCTAACCTAGGTAATTAAAAACAGCACAGTGAGATGCTCAAGTGAAGCTCACATATTTATATAAGAGTTCATCTTCTCATATTTACATAAGGCTCAAGACAAAGTTATGATTTGTATGGTTATGTTACTGTCTTCATGGTATGAAGCTGGATAATCACTACATATTATAAAGAAACATCTCATCTCAGCAGTTTGCATATTTATCCATACATATATAACCCACTGGGAAGCTAAAACTGGGGAAAACTGTGCTACTAGTACTGAGAGAGAACCTCAGTTGAAGGCTCTCACAATAAACATAGAAGTTCCTAAGTGTCCCCTTGTTTGACATAGATAAGCTCACTTCAAGACATTTAATAGTCTAATAAAGTGATAGCAAGCATGGAGAGATGTAACTACACTGCCAGTGATATTGTTAATGTCCTACTTAATACATGGTTAAACAATTACTGCAGTGTGTGCATCTCTCCTAATAAAACAGTGAACATGTATTTCAGGAGGCAGTTCATTACACAGTTTTGAATGTTCCTGCCTTCAACCACTTCTTTCTTCTGTGCTAGTATGACCCCATTTATTGAACAGATATTCTTATCTCTCTGTTATAAATGGCCCTATGAATCACTGAAATGAGCCCAGTTTAAAAAAAACGCAAACAAATACAAATGAACAAAATACTTCCAGTTACTAGTTTTTAACCTGGATAATTTCCACAGCATGTCAAAAAAGACTGCAGTGGTATTCAGAGGCTCTATGGACTGTAGCACTGGGCTGAGCAGAAACATCATCAACCACCTTCCTCTTCAGAACACATTTGCATAATAAGCCTCTCAGATATTTAGTGTCAGATGGGATGAATCACCTTCTCTTATGACACTGACTACAGATGACTGGCTTAGAATAAACGCCCACGACTTCTAAGGCTGCAGCGGAATGACAAGAGATCCATCCTTAATATAGGCTAAGGGATATCTGATTCCTTCAAAAATATGAAGTAAAGCTTCACTAAGGAGCCAACACCAGCATCTTTAACATTAATCTTAGCTTACACCATGTCCTTAAAAAAGGTACCAATTGCTTGCCTAAGGAACTGTGTTTTAAAACTTTGCTCATTTGTGTAGCCCACACAAGAGAAAATTGTAAGCAACACACATACCTCCACCTATTTCTCATGTTCCAAAGCTGAAATACTCCTTTAAAGAGACAAAAATCCCAAGAGAAACTGCAAACTCATCAAAAGAGGAAAATCAACACAGACCACAGTAATTCTTTTCATCCTGAAGAGCATTATCCCCTTGGTAATTGCCTCCCTCGCGTTTCTTTTACACTGAGAAGATCATGAGGCTGACCACCTGAGGAGCAGCAGCTCTTAGGAAAGATAGTAGTGATGAACAGGAGGGCAAAAATGTGTACATTTTCTCCCTATTCACCTCCCAGATATATCGAGACAAAGCCAAAGCAGCCAGGTGCTGTAACATACAGAGAAAGAGCAAAGTGCTGCTAGCATTAGCAAAGCAGAATTAAATAATGCTCAGGTGCAGAGTTATTGCACTGGCTACATTTAGTGATTCATCTGCAACAGTGAGCAATTTGTATGAATAAATGCTCAGTCTGGGGAGAGACGCAAGAGCCAGGGAATTTGAAATGAATGATCGAATCTCATTCTTCTGGGTTCACATATCTGGGCCAAAGTTTTTAAAATGAGGTGCCTAAATTTAGGCTGTTAAAGAGTTTATCTTTAGTCATCAGAGTGCCAGACCACTCAGCGCTCCTCCTACAGAGCCACTGGCTCTGCATTCTAATAGCTTGAAATGTATTTAGAAACATCACCGTAGGTAGTCAAGTCTAAATGGCTCTAAATATCTTCTGTTCAGAACTGCAACACATAGCCTGAACTGCTACTCGAAATGAAAATGTGCTGGGAGGGAGTTGAAACTTCCTGCATTTTGTACCATATTTACAGGCTTGCAACCCAAAAAAATCTTTTAAAAAGCCCTATTGACAAACGGCTCTTAGGTTTCAACTTTCTGATATCACCAGTCTATTGCCAGAGGCTCATAAAGTTAAGTAGTGTGAAAAGCAAGGTCCTGGAGACCTGTGTTATCATAAGGAAATGTTTTGAGAATTCTCAAAGTAAGAAAGAATTTAATGTTCATAACTTAGTGAGGTTTTTTTACTTTAAAAAGGAAAAAGATACTTGGGAAATTATGGTCACCCATTTTTAATTATTCAAGCTGTTCAGGATCTTGCCAATTGCTTGAGATTGTGTCCATCCATTCAAAAGGAAAACAAACTGTCTATGAAACATCCTTGAAGGACTTATTCCATCCTACTTGATAAATGGACCCTATAAAAAGAAAGTTGGCTATGAATTTGTGAGATCACTGTGCCTGAGTAAAAGTATTGCCATCTATTAGGGAAAGATAGGGAAGGATTTACAGGTTAAAGTATGCTGTAGTTTTGTATGGAAAAATTATGACTATAGGAGTAAAATGTCCTAGTTCTTTTTATACTTTCTATGTAGATGGGGTCTACGTGGCACTTGGGAGTAGCGCTTCAAAATGTTTCTATCAAATAGAAAATCTGCTTTTGAGATAAACAGCACAATGGAAATTAAGGAGCATCCATCTTTCATTTGTTTTATCTCAGAGTAGCAAATAAATTCTAAAAATTTGGAAAAAAATTAGATTTGAGACTGTGCCTTTCTTCCTCCCCAGCTACCTTTCAAGAGCCAAATGTAAAATGCAGAACCCAAACAAGAGAATTGTAACTCACTCAGTGGACCACTACAAGTGACAACATATAAACAATGCTGTCAGAATCAGGCAGGGGAGCAGTGAATGCAGGAAACTGTTTAATTTCTCAATAGTAAGCATTTGCAATAGAAATGAAAAAGGAAGAAACTGAAAATCAAAATACAAGCGTTAAGATTTCAGATCTCATAGCAACACTGATAAAAGAGTAAAAGGCTTCATGAAAAATAATCCAAAGATAGTTTCACAAATGTAGTTTTGTTTACTTTTAAATATATAACTTAAAATAATTTACTGCCAATAATCCATGACAATTTTTATTGTAATACAGTGTAAAACAAATATCTACATTGCCCTTATGAAAAAAGTAACTCAGTTCATTAGCTGATCTAATGGCAGTTGCAGGATTAAAAGAAGTTAGGAAAGTAAGCAGTAATACTGCTATGTTCCAAAATAATTCCACAGAGTGGTGGGGAAAAAAGAAACAATCCTTTCTTGACCTTCTCAAAAAATCTAAAACTGAAAACCTCTCCAAGCATATAATGGCTGGCCAGTAATAGGGAAGGCTCTTTTCCACAATACCTGGCTGCTTTGCCAGGGTCAGCACCTTGCTGTTAACAGCAAAAAGCAGGCTGTATAAAAAGGGATGCAGGGATGAGTGGCTGGACACAACTGAGAGGAGATGCTGGGAGTTCAAACAGACCTGGGCAGGCTGTGTTCAGTGACAGCAGGATGTGCTGAGGAGTTCAGAATTACATGCAGCAGCGTTATAGTTACAAACCTGTTGTCTCCTCCCTGTGCACCCAGGGGAACAGGCAGTAGGAATGTCTGGAAGCCCTGTAAGCAGCCCTGGGATCCTAGAAAGAAATGTCTTGCAGATGGCAAACACAGATGTTCCTGTTGTGTCTCAATTTTTGGAAACAAAGGTTGCCACCCTGAAATCCATGATATAAAAAAACACCTAACTGTTTTGCTAGGAGGGATACCAAAGTAGCAAAAGTTATTACTTGCACATCCTGTAACTTAATGGTGAGGATAAAGAGCATCAAAGCTTTCTACAACAAAAAAAACAAAGCAGAGGGAAAACTGGGGAGTTCACAGAAAATAATTTGAAAATGGTGTCTTAAGAGTCACTGCAAGAACTCAAAACCAAATCTCTTGCAAACTTCAACAGTTTAATCCCAGCCAGCAACTAAGTACCATGCAGCAAGTTGCTCACCTCCCTCACCTCTCCCAGTGGAATAGGGAATAGAATCAGGAAAAAAAAAAAAAAAAAAAAAAAAAAAAAAAAAGGAAAAAAAAAAAAAAAAAAAAAAAAAAAAAAAAAAAAAAAAAAAAAAAAAGGTAAAACCTGTGGGTTGAGATAAGAACAGCTTAATAACAACAACAAAAACAAAAATCTTGGAAAAATAACTGTCATGAAAAAGGACAGAAAAAAAGACATAGAAAAATAAGCCCTAGAAAGACAATGATGCACAATACAGCTGCTCCCCACCTGCTAACCAATGCCCAGCCCATTCCTGAGCAGCCACCAGTGCTCCCAGCCAACTCTCCACAGTTCTATACTGGGCACAATGCTCTGTGCTGTGGAATGTGCCTTTGGCTACTTTGGGCCCATGTCCTCACCATGGTCCCTCCTGGCTCCTCGTGCACCTCCTCACGGGCAGAGCAAGGGAACTGCAAAGCCCTTGATTTGGAGTGAGAGCCCCTTAGCAGCTACAACATCAGCGTGTTAGCTGTGTTGCTCTCACAGTGAATACAAAACACAGCACTGAACAGCAACTAGGAAGAAAAATTAACTCTATGC